TTGCAAGAACATTGTCACCAAAATCCACAGCTTACTTTTCCTGTGAACAAAACTTCGTGCAGTTTCTCACATAAAAAACACAACACTCCGTGCTTTCAACAAGACCCAGCACCCGCAAGAGCTTCGGTGCATATTCTGAAGTGAATCACCAGCTATAATGTTAAGGGTCTCTCTGATTATTGCCACTTGGCAGCCACTCATTTCAACTCTTATTGAAAGCACTGTTACTGAAGCAGTGATGCTTAAGCAATAGATCACTTTTCCTGTGTTTACATAGCCTCATCTAAACACGAGGAGGGTTGAGAGAATTCGAGACACTTATGCAAACCGTCGACTACATCTCCGGTTTGCACAACTTTCGAGAATTCTCCTCCGCCCTCCTCCGCAAGTGTTTAGATGGGGCTATGTAAACATGGAAAGACTGCTCTATTGCTTTTATAAAATAACTCTGAAAAATACGCGCAAATCTAAAACGTCACAACCGCGTTTACATGCTCTAATCTAAACACACCTATCGACCAATGAGAGTGCACATAGTAGCTTAGTTATTTTATAAAATTCAATCTTCTATCCCGTACCTCACAAACAACATATCGCAGATACTTATAAGATAGATGGATAATTATAAGATGTTGCCGATTTTTTTCAGGGTTGCGATGTTACGGTAACCACAAAGAAATAAAATTCAACTAAAGCAAAGAAGGAAATGTTGATATTTATTTGTTAACGTCTTATTGTAAAGGCACGATTAATAAAAAATTGAAAATGTAATTTTTTAAATTTATTTTATTGCTTGCAAGACTATGCACAAGGGGTGTTACTATCCACAGAACGAGGGATTGTCCAAGGGGGTAGGTGCCATCTACAGGGATAAGACCAATCTATAGGAAGAGGGATTATCCCAGGCAGATATTATTTCTAGGGGGGAGGGGGGGGGGGCAATCTGTTCTACAGGGAGAGGAACGGGCTACAAGGACTTGTCTAGCTATAGGGAGAGGGACTTTCTACAGGGACAAGGACCACCTGCTGAGAGAGGGACTATTTATAGAAAGGAGTAATATGTGCAAAAGGGAGAGGATGTGTCCACGAAAGGACTGTGAAACAGTGTAGAGGGACAGAGGCTTTCTTCAAGAAAAAGCACTATTTACTACAGGGAGAGGGACTGTCTACAGGTTAAGAAAATATCCATAGGAACAGAGAGTATCTGCCAGGAGAGTATTCAAAGAGAGAAGGGCTATCTATATCACGAGGGACTAGTTAGAGGGAGAGGGGCTATCCACAATGAGAGGGAATGTCTACAAGAAGGGGACTACCCACAGAAAGAGGAAGCATGCACTACTGCACCTACCAGAAGTAAATTTATCAAAAAAAAATAATGAGATACCGCGCATGTCACTCGCTAACGTCAGGCCCGCACTCTAACAAATGACTCCGTGAGATTGGCTTTTTTCCCGTACTGGTTAGTAAGGTAAAAGATAAAGTCTGCTACGAGCCAAGTGGCCCATCAGGCCGGAGCTTATCTCCGGTTATTTCTAATCCCCTGCCTGCAAGTACAAAGTTGAACGATATAGTTCCGTTGTTATATTCGAAGAGAAGTGTAAACGTAAAAATAAAGTGAGAAAGCAAAACAATTCAACGAATAAAGCACGCACTTAAACTGATTTTACTCTAATTCTCCCACCCATTTTCATCTCTCTCAGTTTTCACTTGTCTGTCCGTTATTTTTCCCTTTGGACATTGTCTGGTTTCGCAATCGGAGATATTAATAAATATGCTGTAGTAAGCACCATCCAATTTGACTCGGGATTATATGACTCATTTCCATGGGAATACCCCACTTCAAAATCTCCAAATTTGTATGTTGGCTCGAAAAAAACTTGCAGAAATTAAAATCGAAAATTGGACTTCTTTTCCCCGAAAATTCTCTTATAATCAGAAATGAAGGAGCACGAACTCAGAGTGCTTTGTTTCAAATGTTTTTGGCGTGTTAGGGTCCCTGTCTTCGCGAATACAGAAATTTCCTGTATTCTAAAAATAAAGTTAACGTCTTTAATTACAATGATAGGGTCACCGATTCTTTCTGCACGCCCACACAATAATTGAAATGATTCTCTCGCACTTTCACTTTCTCTACAGCTATTGAGAGAAATTCAGGAAACAGAGTACTCTTAAATGAGTATTAAAATCTTGATAAATAGATAAATAGACGGCAGTCTAACACCCCACAAATCCATTACGACTTAATCTTGCAATGAAATATAAACGAGCTGTTTCGGGGTATTACACGCCAAACATACGCAACTTGCTATCACAAAACAAAGTAAGGGAACAAAACAAGGGAAAAATCCCATCGCGTGCATGACTAACATTTTAAGATACCGTGTGCAAGTTAATAGTCGCCTCTATATATCTAAAGTAGCGTTCCTGGGTTGATTTCGGAGTAGATGTTCAGCACAATGCGGCGATTTACACTGTCTGATGGTTCAAGCGAACGCACACAGTTAAAATATGCACATCGAAGCACAGGTAAGTCGATCACCTTCAACTCTGTAAAGCAGCTTTCCAAGTTTCAGAAGGCGTTCTAACTGCAAGCAAAACACTTTGTACTTGAAATTGCTCACGTGAAGAAACGTTGTTACTACAATTGAGCCTTTTAGTGGACTGCTCTAACGTGTTTAGAAAACTCTAATCATTTATAACGAGTGTTGTTTATGTTGTAAGTCCCAGCTTCCACTTGCAATCGTTTCACTTGAAGGAAATTACTACTGCATCCTTCGTAGAGACACACACTAAAAAAAAATTAGGAAAATAAGCAGAAGATCACATCCATTCACCGCATAGTGGACATGTGTGTAGCTTTCATTACAAGTCATTCATGCCAATGGCATTTCATTACGTGACAGCAAGGGTAACCGTTCGACATACGTCTTGTTTCGCTCATGTCTCATATTACAGCAAGTTGAATAAATTATCTGTAATATTCGTTCAAAGCCCTTCTGAAACCACAAATGGGCGCTTATTTGCCTGAAGCTTTTGAAGATTGTGAAGATCAACTTATAGACTTGTTTCAATTGAACACTTGGCTGTCACTACTGAAGCCAAGAGGAGAGATATTATGGCACATCTGCGCTAAGTAAAATTCAACTTGATAAACAGGTCACGCGAGCCTACATTACTTGTCAATGAACAATGTTCACAATACAATCGTTTATTCCACCTTAATGTACAAGCAGTGTGAAGGTTACCAATACGACATAACATTTGATTTACAGCAAACAAACAACGGAGCAATATCCGAGGAGCGATAATTATGAAACGGGTACTAACAATGTGAGTATTCCATACTAACCATAGTCATCTCTCACAACATGTGATCGTGACGAGCATAAAATTCAAGCTACAACAAGTGTGACCATTGCCAAATGCTTTCTTTCGGTTTACAAGCCAGATAAAAGAAGTAGTACTGACCGAAAAAGTCACTGGACTCGACAAAAAGCGCGCAGTTTATACACACTCGACACATCTAATAAACAAATTACTTTGTTTTAAATAGAGAGAAATGCCCCATCAACCATGGCTGGATTTTCAGAGGGTCCTCCTATCTAGACCGAATTGGAAGTTGGAGACGCTGGTTTTGGCAGAGGAGGAAAACCTGAGCACCGGGAGAAACATTCTCGGAGAAAGCAAACAACAATTCTGTCCATATGACCTCCCGATCGGCAAGATGAAAGCTGAACGTTTCTCCTTATATGTCGTACGTTTGCACGTCACAAAAATAAAAAAAAAAACAGTAACACAACGCCTGCAGTCATTGGTCATCAGTTTCCCGCCATTTCCCAACACAACCATTTTGGCCGTCACCTCGTCAAATGAAAAAGAGAAACTGATTATTTGATTCAAGAAAGCTCTCCGAGAAGAGAAGTTAGGAGCCAATAGACAGAATAACCTCCTTGCCTACTTAGCGATTTAACAGGTAGGCGTTCGATGTTCATATTGAAAAGAAAAGAACTTGTTGCAGTAAACTTGTTGGCCCCACGCCAGGCTACAGATCCATGCGCATCGCCGTAGAAACGTCCTTCTGGGAAATTCGATGGGATAGACACTTTGTAACACCTCGAGATTACCAAAACGAGCCCTTAGCCGAATTGGGAAACAATTAGTTAGAGCGCTAAAGTGTTTGTCACTTGATTCACAAGGTGATAGCAAGGTTCTCCCGCAAAAACGTTTGATCTTCAAGAACGAATTCAGTGGTTCTGTATTGATTAATACGCCGACTGCACCAGAAAATATTTCCGTAAATCTGAGACAGTGAATGCAGCAGCATCTCAAAGTTGTTTCAAATTTGACTTGATATTTCTACAAATATTGCTACATAGAAGGGAGAGAAACTTTATATCAACTCTGAAATAACGATGGTCGCACGCCATTTTGAATACAGGGCAAGGTCACAATATAAACATAACCACGTCTCTTTCAATTCTTTCAGAACACCCGACAAGATTTCAACATGGACAACAACAACAATGTTGTAAGTTCAATGAGTTTTACGTTTAGGATTGGTGTAGTTAACAGCGACTGAGTTAAGCCAGGAAACGTGTTCCATCTATACGAACCAAATTGAAACCCAAACTCAAGAATGTCGCCCTGTGCGTCTTTCATGGAGAACACAAAACGCATAACAGCAGTTATGTTGACGGACGTACATATAGAGTATAATAAAAATACTTAAAAACTATTGTACCACTTCAAAAGACTACCGTACAAGATACTGCACATTTTCGCACCATTGAATTACAACAGCTAAAGAATTCATATACATGAAGCTTCTCGCAAAATCAACGGATAAACACTACTGAAAATTGCTTCCTTGTGGACAGAACAGTCGAAACTAGCAGCACTTATAAAAATCAACATATTCTGATCTTGTATAGAAGTTTAAGCTCATGCTAACATGGCTTCACTTTGTTATTATTATTTCAGCAACAGAATTTTGGGTAAGTTAACAACTTCCTTAAAGTTTTAAACAATTCAAGTAATTGCTAATATAATTTGCCTCAGTTGAGTATAACCACGTGTATATACATTGCAGCTACCTCTAACAAACGCAAGAAGGTAAACATGCCCTACTTACTGTTTTTGCAAAGGATTGAGTGGTCTGGGCTGGAGCCCAGGCCGGGTGCATTGTGTTGTGTTCTTGGGCAAGACACTTAACTCTCACAGTGCCTCTCTCCACCCAGGTGTATAAATAGGAACCAGCAAACTTAATGCTGGGGGTAACCCCGCGATTGACTAGCATACCATCCAGGAGGGAGGTGGGGGGTGGAAATATTCCAAGTCGCTTCATACCTCATGTCTGATGGGCCACTTGGCTCCTATGCAAGACCTTACCAACAGTACTATTGTTTTGTACATCAACAACAAGTTGCAAGGGTACATTGTTCCATCATGTAGAATTCTTCGGCAACACAATGCACTAGCAGTGTCCCCCCAATTCAGAGGTAAACCAGTGTGTACCAGTCAATAAACCATTTCCTAGTTGGCTTGTGCCTCTATGTCAAAATGAGACTTCATGCGAAACCATTCACATAAAAATGTGTTCCCCCTACAGGTTCATTTCAATGCAAATCAAACTCATTTTCATATGAAAGGTTTTGCATGAGGACTCATTTTGAAACAGAGGCACAAGTAACTCAGAAATGGCCTATTGTTTGGGCATCGTGACAAATTGTTATGGGGAAACCATAGACAGACCTCCATCCTGATGACCCATGTTCAGTGCTGTCATTAGGTTTTGAGTCAGGGGTTCTACACACCCACAATAACCCTGTTGCTCTTTGGGTGAATTATATTTACAATGAGCAAGTCAACCCCTCACATATTATTGTAACATCAAGGGCCCATCATAAATACTCAGCCACAACAAGTGTTATGGTTATGGCCTGTAATGACAGCCCTGCATCTGGCTCCTACAGTCACTAATACTAGAGTGGAATCATTTACCTTTACAAGTAGATATGGGTTATTGACCAAGGGTGGGGTCAAGATAGCTAGAGAAGGAGTCAAGGTCCATACACATGCAAGAGAGAGAGAAAGAGAGAGAGAGAGAGCACAATATCTAGCAAGCTTGGTCAATAGACATTCTGTTCATCTTGACACAGACATCATGTGCAGGTAACATGGAGGTCCAGCCTTTCTTAATTTAACAGGCAATATCATTTTAAAAAATTCAAACAGAATTGTAACATAACTTAATCACTTACTTCTGATTTCATTCATTTTCCCAGCAGAAATCAGCAACAAAATGTCATGATACGAACAATCCTCAGCAGCCATATGCAAATCTCAACCCTAGAGGTAAGAACAACTTTAAATTATTACTTGTTCTTCCTACCATTTTTAACATGAATCTAAGAAATCCTATCTGTCAGAATGATTGATTTATGGTTCTATCAAATCCAAGCATCAACACCAGCCTCCCGGGCATTTATAATTTTTTTGAAACTATGTTGAAAATGCCCCATGCTAGTGCTAGAATATCTGTGGCAATCCCCATAGTGGAGCTGCAGAAATACTGTAAATGCCAGACCAATACAACAAGGTCAATTTTTTTTTTTTTTTTTGGATTAATATCGGTAGCAACAATATATTTATTGTTCACATATAAATGGTTCTTAATTAATACCTGTAACCACTGTTTTTGGAGGCAACGCACCTCCAAAAAGTAGCAAAACTTAAAAATGATGCAACATCTGGCATTACATTCTGTTGGGGACTCTATGTCCATATTTCCATGTTTGACTATCAGTGATATGACAGTTTTGCAACTGGCAAGTTTATTTGCAGAATCTGACCCCTATTAAACATTCTAATTGAATAACAAAAGCAGCCAAGTGCTTTTGAATTGAACATCTTGCCCTGCAAAGCTGTTATGGCTTCTTTCTGCCCTCCTCAGTTCTCATTCTAAATTTCGCACATGTTGGGTTGAGAATGGAACTCAGGTTTATTTGAAAAGCGCAGGACTCCAATGAGGTATATCAAATCAGTTTTTTCCCTTAAAAAAAAAAAAAAACTAAAGATAAAATTGCCTTTGACAATGCCTCACCCCCAGGCTGACCTTTTAAAACAAATTCCCTATACAGGGGAAAAAATGGGGGGGCTCAAAATTGACAGAGAAACTCACAGGAGGGGTTTTTGTTAATGGTACGGTAATAATTAATTGGGCAGCTCCCGGCCTTACTGAAAATACTGTAAGAGACTTCATGTACATGAAGCTATAAAGTATAATCATTACAACTGGTCAGTTATAACAATTAACATTTTCATTATTCTTTATAGCCTGACTACCCAGTTCATCAAGATTACTTGTACAGCCAAAATGGCCGCATAATCCAACAGTGCACAGAAGAAGGTGGTCTGTACCGCCCTGTTGTGTAAGTTAATGATATGTATAAAATCACAAAATACCATGTAATGTAAACTTATTGACTGAGTGGGAAAGCGGGTCAGTAATTTACATCTGACCTGAGGCCATAACATGAAGGCAATGACATGAGGACCATGCGCCACAGGCCAGTCTGTGCAAAATGACTGAGCAAGGTTTTCCCCGTTCTAGCCTGTCCTAGTCTGCTTCACAGGGATTATTTGGGTTGTCATGCAATGTGTCTCCATGGTACCAACAGATTGCCTAAACCCAAAAAGCATTCTTTTCTGCAGTTTAGCCAATAACTGCTTTGCTTACATAACTGTGAGCCAGGTCAGGAGTTTCATTAGGGCCGGGCACCAAGCAAATTGACTAGCTGTAAGGATGATTTTGCCCACCTGGTTTGACCATCTAGAGGACAGTATTTGTTACATTTGTATAAAGAGGTAAAGTTCAAAAAGTTTTGCCCCCCTTTGAAAACCAGTTTCCCACTTGCTGAATATGTCAATGAAACCCCTGCCAGTTGTGCAAAAATTCACCGACTACACCTGAATCCCTTTACTAACCACACCTTGCCTCTAATACTAATGAAGGGAACATAGAAGAAAAATACCAAATTGATGCGAGTTCTATTTATTTCAGTGGCTGGGAGTCTCTGTTGGTGTCTGCACAGGAGTAATACATGTAAACTCATGGGTATGTAGATGTGTAGTGTAGAGTATACATGTCAAGTTAATACGTGTAGAAACCCAAATTCAATAATCACAAGACAGGACAAAGTTCTTTGCAAGTTTACACAACTAATATAATAAATTGCCTGATTGTATTGCCTCAAGGAATTCCAAGTGTGACCCCTTTTAATTAATCCACATTCTATGCAGATTAAATCCCATCACAAGCAATATATTTCTGGCAAAATCAGATAAATCAGCATCCACTGAATTAACTGAATAACCAAATAAGCTGTAAGGGTATAAAATTTTTGGCACCAAATGATTATAGATGCAATTTCTTCCCACTTTTACTTGTAAATGTGGATATGTATATTTTTTACTGCTTGGTTTTACATATCACATCAGTTTGCTAACCTGACCAAATGAGGTTAGCATGTTAGGTAATAATAATACTAGTAGTAGTCAAAGATTGAGAGTGCGTTCAACGCCGTCACTTTAATTGCTGCGGGGCAAGTGTAGCGAGCGAGCAGCAACATAATCAGGATTTAAAAAGAATATACAGAAGGGGGTACAAATTCTCAAATTCATCACTTTTTACCAGAATGCATTGCATTTAACCAGCATGCACTGAACCACGAACAACAAGAAGACGTCCTTTTCGTGTGGATTCCAGTGCAAAAGATTAGTGGTTATGTTTTGCTCTGAGTTACCTGTAAAACGATGTGAAGGAAATTGTGCCTGACTTTCACAACTCTTGCTTTTGTTCTTAATGCAGTATGTGAAAGTTTGTAAATCTGGACGACTAATTTTTAAAATTAGTATGTCATCTCTTAGCAGTCTTGCCTCCTTGGCCGAATTCTTAAATTAAGAGAAATCGTCGCTACATGTACTAAAGCTTGTAGAATAATTAAAACAAACAAGAACCACAGACTACACTAATTTCATATATGCTGCGATCTATTCCTTTTCATCCAAACATGAATTTAAGCGAACGCTTTAGCATTTTCACACATCGCAATGGACAAGTCCTTGACACAGTCTGTCAACATTCTAGAAACATTTAATGCGTATCGGTACAGAATTTATAACTTAGATTTCTGCTCCTACAATTTCCACACCTTTCGCTTTTCGCGATCTGGTAAAGGGGAGGTTGATGTGTGTCATTTTATGTCCAAACATAGTTCAGATCACTATGTGCTTTTTTGTCACGATCCCTTGTCACACCTCGCCATTGATGGGTTGTCATGCATGGAGTTGTAGATGAATCACTGCATAAAATATGTCACTATCAACAGAATGTGCCGCAGCATTATTATATTTTAGATACCCTAGTATATACACCTAGATTTCACTAGCTGCCTTTCAGCCTCTGTCTATTGCCAAAATCAACATTTTTAAATTCATCAACGTTGTGTGATGGTGCCAGTTTCCGTAGACTCACAAGTTTAACTGAACTGAAATATTTACATTAACCTTCAAATTTTGTCCTTAATATTTTCACACTAACTGATAATGTTGAAGCGTAAAAGCAAATTTGTAAAAGTGTATTTTTTATGTATGTTATTTTAAGCTGGGAGCACAAATATAAGCAAGCATTTGCAATCGCATGCTTGTTTATCGTAAACAAACTTGTTGTGTTCGATTCAAATATTTCCTCTAATGAATAAAAGTAGACAGTATTTACATTGTTGTTCCTTGGTTCAGGCCCACTCTTATGGATTTTGCCTTCAGAGTACTTTTCCAACGATTCCAAACAATATTCAACTAGATAAAGAGTGAGGTATCTGTCACGACCGGAACTAATCAAGAAATGCAATCAAAATACAGCCAATGAAATATACATGTATTTGTTCCCATGGTTAACATCCCAAAGCCAAGATGATTCAAAGTCTTGTTCAAGAACACATAAAATAAATAATTGTCCTAGTCATGTCACAAAAGCACTTCATCTCGCATCCTGATGAAACAGGCCACATTTGCATTGATTTGCACAGCACAAAATCATAACTGCAAACGAGTGAATGATCGAGAAATCAACATGTGCTTTGCAATGATGTCATTCATTTTCACCCCTGCTGCATTCTGAGGGGACTCCAATTTTGCGTCCCAAGATCCATCCATCCCTTGTCCCATAAAATCTCACTCCAGTCCGCATTAGGACTACATTCTGTTGAACGCAATGATTATTCTTTTTAGTCTTTTAGTATTCTTCTAGTCATGTCACAAAAGCACTTCATCTCGCATCCTGATGAAACAGGCCACATTTACATTGATTTGCACAGCACAAAATCATAACTGCAAACGAGTGAATGATCGAGAAATCAACATGTGCTTTGCAATGATGTCATTCATTTTCACCCCTGCTGCATTCTGAGGGGACTCCAATTTTGCGTCCCAAGATCCATCCATCCCTTGTCCCATAAAATCTCACTCCAGTCCGCATTAGGACTACATTCTGTTGAACGCAATGATTATTCTTTTTGAGAAACACATTGATTTTTACTCCAGAGACTAGCTTGTCACTTGATTTCTGAGGAAATAATTGCCACAGACAAAATATAAGCTTTCCAGCTCTCGTGAAATAACGTGTTCAAATTCAACTGAGAAACATGAAGCAGCTTCAGTTTCTCTGTGGGAAGCATGGGGGCCTAATGGCCTTCTTTACAAATATCATACTTCTTGCAAAGATTGTGAGGTTGTTATTTACAATTCTTTCACCCAATCACAACAGAGTGCATTGATAAAACTCAAATGAGTGTATTTATGCAGGCACTAAACATTACATACACTTACATGTACAGCTTTAGACAGCTGCCTAGCCAATCAATTCTGAAGCCAAAACCTTTAAAAAGTTCAAGCCCTGGGATTTCACGATAATGATCATTTCTGGTACCGTGTTGTTACCATGATTCAGAAATAAAACCAAACGGAAAAACAGTTTGCCATGGACATCTTAAGCCTTTGTCGATAAAAAGTCTTGTGATAAAACTTTTCTGCCCTAATTTTCAACAAATAGAGTAATTCCTTTGATTGACACTGCGATTATATATGAAACTAAAACGTTACTGTGTACGAAACTGAAAACTCTGCCATCTATAAGTGCATTGCACTGCATTTGCAATACAGTCCGAGACGGATTTAAGATGGCGGACGAATGGCTGATCTAGTGTGAACCAGCTACAATTGCTGGTTTTCATCCCAGCAATCAGTTTACATGGCATCAACTGTAAAGAAGAGGTACAAATGTTGACCTTGTATTTAAAAAAAAAATTCAAGAAGAGGTAATTTTGTACTGATTTTGAAGGCTGTTATGGAGAACATTACTTCGTTTACTAGCCATGATCCATACCACTGATTACATGTAAGCATGTACATGACTGTATGTAGTGTTTGCTTCAATTTCCTTCTCTATTGTGCAATACTATTTTTGTTTTCTTTAATTGGCATCCAAATCAAGTGTAAAATCTTGCTACAACAATCTTCCATTACTGATCGTTTCCCACAATCACTGGACATGGAATTGATAAAGTGTTACTGATGAAATTTGAAATCCTCGGCCTTGAAGCTGATATGTAGAAACCTCAAACAGGTATCGCTAACTTCCCTGCAGGATCTCTTTTGAGTTGCTTTTCTTGCAGCTATCATCAGCAATGTTAGTCGCCAGAGGGGAAAATCGAAGTGCATTGGCACCTTTATAAGGCACAGTTTGGTACTCTGATAATTATGCATGGTAACCCAAGTATAATGCATTCACAAACAGTTTGAGATGTGTTTGGCCTGTCAACACGAGATGTAGTGTATATGTAACAGTCATTTGATATTGATACTTACATTTTGTGAAAGATATGTTGCTCAGGTTGCATTGAATGAAGATCTAAACAAAGTTCACTCTCAAGAATGAAACATATCTTAGACTTACAGTAATTGCTGATTGTTTGTTCGTTTTAGAAGTATATGTACACAGGCTTGACAGTAATAGTAGCCAAGAACAGACTAGTTAGTAGAAATTTAGGTTTGGTTAGTAGGTTTCCGATTTCCACTAGCCACTTTGGCTAGCAAACAAAATGAAATTGACTGGACTAGTTTCTGTCAAGGAAGACAAACACAAACATTTTTCTAAGAATTTCATGTTATCGAGCATGTGCTGTTCAGCACTTATGTAAATTTACAAGGCTTCTGAAATTTCACGAATTGCGAGTAAATCAGTGAAATCCTGCAAAATACCATGAAATTCGCTAGAAATCTTACCAAACACATGTCAGTATGTACAACATATTTGAAACTTATCTTGGCTGTTGGTACTGTTAACTTGCCGGCAAATTTATCATGAAACTTCGTCACTGCAATGAGTAAACAACATCCCAAAACTACCAAGCGTTCTTAGATTAATGTTGCAAAAAACTGGGCAGTGGCCTCAATGCAAAAAGCCGTGTTGTTGGCGCATTTCTTGGGCACATTGTTGTTAAAAGAGCAAATGATGATTTCTGTTAAGAAGAACCTTATGTTCAAACAAAAAAACAAAATGTAAGATAGCCCAAACAAGTTACTCAAATTTTCCTGCAAAATTGCCGGTTTTAGAAAGCAACACTTATAATTAGTCAATGTTTCTGTTGCTGTTGTTATTGCATAGGCTAACGATCCTCATTTTCCCAAAAAATGGCAAAATCGCCATTTTTTCCCTTAAAAACGCTCATCAAATTAGTGAAAAATGTATCTCTTTCCAGTGAAATTTGCCCTGAAAATTCCTTTTCCAGCAAAATTTGCCCCAAAAATTCCCACAAAGCCCTGAATTTAAGTACATTTAGGGTGGTATGCTGCGTCGTTTGTAAATGGGTAACTGAACATGTTATTATGTTGAAAGACATACAGTCAAACCTCAATTATCCATACCTCATACCTCTGGATTTCTTGATTATCTGGACTCTTTCTCCAATCCCAATTTTGCATGATGATTTGTTAGTCATGATCAAGATCTGTAGCTATGTTCTTTTTAAAACTACAGGATTGAAAAGGGCAGTCAAA